CAGGTGTTCCCAACTACTGAGGAAGTGATAGCTTATGTCTTTAGCATTCTGTTTTGTATGAGGGAGCCCAGCCAAGGTGTTCTCTGTATCCAGAGGACGCTATGGGGCCCCATGGTAAATGGTGATGCTAGACCCTTTCACTTAGCAAACAAATCGCCTTCCAGAAGGAAGTTCTGATTGCTACTCAGCGACTCCCATGTGGGAAGGTCTAGTGTGGGTTTAATCTATGTTCTGTGGGAGGCTGTCCCGATGAGTAAAGGCCCCGGAAATAGCTCTGCTGAATTCACAACTCTGCTAAGGTGTTATCTGGTCACTTAGCCCAGGTTTCACAGTCCGCAGATTAACAGTCTATCAGACCAGCTTAGACTGCCAGACTGTACCTTTCAAGAAACTGAGTGACAAGACTGTGGTCTTCAGGTAGAGAACAAAGAATCCTATTCTGCAATTCTTTCATCCGGGGTGTGGTGTGGTGTATTGCTGTTGGTGTCAGAGGATTCCTATGGTGATTTAGAACTCATAGTCTTCCTGCCTCAACCTCCAGAGTGCTAAGATTACAAGTTTAGCTCTTCTGTCTGGAGGCAGCACTGGATCTCAGTCAGTTCAAGGCCAGCCAGGGTCACAGACCCCACCCAGTTCTCTCCCTCTACCAACATTTTCTGTTTTGTTTTGTTTTTCTAAACAGGGTTTCTCTTTAGCTTTGAATCCTATTCAGAAATTTGCCCTGTTTCCCATGCTGGCCTTGAACTCACAGAGATCCACCAGCCTCTCCCTCCCGAGTGCTGGGATTAAAGGCGTCTGACACCACTGCCCAGCTCAGTACCACCATCTTAATTTGACCACTCACTCCACTGTTATGAAGGCACCCTGCCCCAATCCCTCTTGCTGCTTCCCCAGACCTAATGGTCTATATTCTTTTTTTTTAAATTTATTTATTTATTAAGGATTTCTGCCTCCTCCCCGCCACCGCCTCCCATTTCCCTCCCCCTCCCCCTATCAAGTCCCCCTCCCTCATCAGCTCGAAGAGCAATCAGGGTTCCCTGACCTGTGGGTAGTCCAAGGACCGCCCACCTCCATCCAGGTCTAGTAAGGTAAGTGTCCAAACTGCCTAGGCTCCCACAAAGCCAGTGGTCTATATTCTTAATGGCACCAGATTTCCCAGAACGGAGCCCAGAGAGTGCATAGTTTCTTCCCATGGACAAAGGAGAGAGGAGACAGGAACCGTAAAGTGGGATTTGGGGAATCTCTGATGTCAATACTGATCAGAGAAAGAATTACATTGCACAAAATCAGGTCCTTAGAGCTGTTGTGGAAGGGAACTAGAGGGGCAAATGTCCTGGTAGTGGGAAAGCACCCTGTACAGAGTGGGATGGGCGTAACATCTGGATGAGTTTCTGGGAAAAGCATCATAGGCAGGAGCTTCACCCTAGCATTCATCAGGGAATGGATTGGAAGAGACACACCCTGTCTCCTTCACCCTGACCATTCTCACACGCGTTTCCCTGGGGTGGAAGGAAGACACAGTATGCTACCTAGAAGAATGCCTTCCTCTCAGTTCTGGGCAGATGCAGGAGCATTCCATTCAGAGAGTAAAGTACACTCAAAAACGCACAGCGTTTAAGCAGATGAGACTTGACTCAAATCCTAACTCTACCCTTCACTGTGTGACTGGGCGTCTGTTGACTGCATAGATGCCAAATTCTTTGATTCAGCATATGAAAATGATAACAAATCCCCAATACTGTTGGGAACTCTATTGTTAGCACAGCAGTCCATGGCATAGTGATCAGAAAGGAAATGCCAGCTGTAACAGCTTATCCCTTCCCTTCCCTCACCCAACTCTCCAGAGCACTACGGTCGCCCTCACAGACCTCCTTTATGCCCTGCAGGGACAGAGCCAGGTGGAAGCAGAAGATGGAGCTGGATTCTGCACTCCTCAGCCTCAATCAGACAGTTTCTGGGCCCGGGCCCTTTATCCTGCTGGGTGTGCCAGGACTGGAGGGCCTGCATGCCTGGATTGCTGTGCCCGTATGCCTGCTGTACCTGGCATCTTTGGTAGGGAATACACTTCTCCTGGGGCTGGTGGCAGTGGACAAAACCCTCCAGGCTCCCATGTACCAGCTTCTTGGGCTTCTGGCAGCCGCTGACTTGATTCTGGCAACATCCACGGTGCCTAAAGCCCTAGCTGTGCTCTGGGGCTTGTCGGATGAAATCTCCTTTGCCGGCTGTTTAGCTCAGCTCTTTGTTGCTCACGTGGCCTTCATTGCTGAGTCCTCAGTGCTGCTGGCCATGGCAGTGGACCGCTATGTGGCCATCTGCCAGCCTCTACGCTATGGGGCTCTGCTGAGCCAGCGTGTGGTGGGCATGGTGGCTGTAGCAGCTGTGACGCGTGGCGCCTGTGTCATGGCACCCCCTGTGGTCCTTCTGCAGAGACTCCCTTACTGTGGGCATCGGGCCTTGCCTCACACATACTGCGAGCACATGGGTGTGGCTCGTCTCGCATGTGGCGACACACGTCCCAACATCTGGTATGGACTGGCTACCACACTGCTCTCTCCAGCCCTGGACCTAGGGCTCATAGGTGCTTCCTATGCCCTTATACTCCGTGCCGTCTGTCGCCTGCCATCCCCCGGTGCCCGCTACAAGACCTTGGGTACATGTGGGGCCCATGCTGGTGTCATTGTTCTCTTCTACACACCTGCTCTCTTTTCCTTCCTGGCTCACCGTTTTGGCCACCACACAGTTCCTGGCCACATCCATATTTTATTGGCTAATCTCTACGTGGTAGTTCCTCCAGCACTTAATCCTGTGGTCTATGGAGTGCGCACAAAGCAGATCACTCAGAGACTTAGACATTTGCTTCAAAGGGCGAGAAAGGTGGGCACCGACATGCCAGCTGTGCCACACACTGTATCTGTGTGAACACAAGTGTTGACATCATCTGCAATCAGGTGGGGCCATGACCATACGACCTATTCCCAACATGTAGGCAGGCAGAGTACTGCAAACTGACCTCTCCCTACCCAGCTTCACCAGCACAGTCCTCTCCTTACACATCTGTTTTGACTTCCAGTGACAAGTTACTAAGGTATAGAAGAGCTTGGGCCCTTCAGTGACCCACAAGGGGGCCCAGGAAACATCTGCAAGACTATGGTCTTTCTCCATCATTCTCACACACTCAGATTGGTCTAATGTGGCTCAGTGTGGTTTCTTTGTAAGGCATCTGGTGCTAAGCAAGAATTCCATGTCTGCTGAAGGGATGAAGACAGGAAGAGCTGGAGGAATAGAATAGTATCGTACAGTATAGTATAATATAGTATAGTATTCATAGTGTAGTGTAGCATAGCATAGCATAGATAGTATAAGGTGCAGAGCTTTGAAAACTCGGCTTTGATCTGGGTGGCTAATACCTTGAGCTCCAGAGCTGCTGAGGTGGCAGTACAGCAAGAGCATCCACGAGAGGGTTCCTGTTTCGGATAAGAGTCTGAGGAAGTTCCTGCTTTTTACCATATGTCATTTGCTAGATATAGTTGCTAGGATGCGAGAAAGGCTACAGCTCAATCTCATGCTCCTTTCCCTGGCTATTCTCCTACTCAGCCTTCCTTCCATCTGTTCTCCCATGAAACACAGCGCTAGTGACACCCATTTGAACCCTGATTCTAGATGCTTTCATATCATGTGCATATTTGATTTTCAAATAAACTCCCAAGATAACCAGAGGTTGTCTTAACAACCTCTGTGATTCCCGGATGAAAATACAGGACTTGATGGAGAATGTACCTTATGTATGTTGGTTTTGAGTGCAGAATGTCAGCCAAGATAAAATATAACCTTATTGAGATTTTCCTATATTGCAAAGTAATGCAATTCCCCATAATTATATGTACCACAGCTCTTGAAGTCTTTCTAGAATGGGAAGTGGGAGATTTCATGCGCCTTGTTAAAACAGGTGTACAGCACAGGCAGGCTCTAAAAGGATGAGTGAGTAGTTGAGGGCCCTGGTACTAAGTGCTGCAGTGTCTGGATTTAGGGGAACTGTGAGAAATAGGGAAGCAACAGAAGTCATAACAGAATAAGAGTGGAATGATTAGCCCTTTACGGCAACCTTTCTGGGAAATGTAGCATCTCTGAGGCACATGACCAAATGATAGTCCACATTGCTTGAGAAATAGGTACTCCAGTAAGATGGCTTAAAAAAAGAGAGGGTGGGAGAGATTTTGGATAGCCAAAAGAGAGAGCCCTGAGCTGTGATTTCTCGTCCAGGTCTTAGGAACCAAACTCTTCCTTCTCCATAGGAATATCTGCTTGAGAGGCCGGAGAACTTGAGGCCTGATAGCCTCCTGCTGCTGGAGGCATGGAGGCTTCTTAGCACACAGACAGCAGAGGCTGGGTGCATTTGGAGTAGCGATACCAGGGGAGCATCTGGAGGGGAGTAGAGTAAAAATGTTTAGAGTACCCAGGAGAGTGGAGGAGGCAGCTCGCTAAAGAAGGTTTGTAACAGGGCAAAATAGTGCTGTGATGTTTGCATTTCCCCCAGGGGCACACTTTGGCCTCTTTTCAAGGGACATGATTAAGTGGTTAAGTAAATGGCTTCTGCCCTTAGGTTGAACAGGTTAGGTTGCATTTCCTTCTAGAGCCTTCCTCCCTCTCTGAAAATTGATGAAAGACCATAATCCTCTTTGAAAGGGACCCTTCCCAAGGTCTGCCAGATCTCTCAGGTTTGTTTTAATCTATTTGTGTAGGAGGGCCTGGCAAGGCAGGAACAGATCTCTGTTTGGGATGGATGAGGGCAACCCTGTTTTCATAGAAGAAATACACTTCCACCCATGTTTGAAGTTGCCAGTTTTTTCTGATCCCCTTTCCCAACTTCAAGATCCTACACATAGCTTAGCTTTTTTGGATGTTGAAATCTTTGTCACCTCCTACTGAGACTATTCATTGGCAATGGAAATAAAAGCTCAGGGTAGTCTAGGGACTTAGCCCATACCTACAGCTGGACCAAGATGCACTCTGACCTAGCTCTTTTGGCCCCTTTTCTGCTGCTCCTGGCACTTCCAGGACAGCCTCAGGTACAGGCAAAGGGTGAAGGTATCATGTAGGAGAGATAGTTCTATGTTTTAGGCTGGCCGCTTTCTTCCGTTCTCATTCCCAGGTCTGCGGCAAGAGTAAAGACAGAGAAAACTGGAGGAGAGATGATGATGGATGGGATGCCATTTTGTTGGTTGGATATCTGTTGGATAGTATGGGCATAAGATGAGAGGAGGGGGAGAGAGAGAGGAGGGGGGAGAACTGTATGTTCTGATGTTACAAGTCCTTGTTTTTTACCACCACATGCGTATACTCTTCCTGTGATAAAGATGTTGGTGATGAGGATGGGATGGTCAGCCCAGGGCATTATAGATTAAGTGGCCTTATTAGGTTGAAGACATAGCCAGTGTAAGCTCTGGGTATTAGAACTCAAAAACATACAGGGGAGGTAAAGCTTCTCAGAGAAGTACAGGGATCATATATAAACCCCAGTTAGTACCATGGTCATAATCTAAAATTTAGAAGGAATTTCTAAGAGTGCTAACTTATTCAGCTTCAAAGTGAAATTGAGAAAGAATTAATGAACTACAATAGCACATCTAAGCGACTCTAAGAAGGCAGGCACTATCTCAAGTGCTCTCTCCACCTGTCTATCTTATCTATCTGTCTGTCTCTCTGTCCATCTACTTACCATCCTTGAAGTAAAACAATAGAGAAAATGCTACAATTTCTATTACTACCCATGTGAAGGTACTGGGACACAGAGAGATTACATATGCAATATGAGGGGAAATAGAAAATGTAGCTCTAGAATAAGTGGATTTGAACTGGCTGTGAGCAAACCATGTTATGCAAGGGTAAGACGAATTCAACTTATGTGTCTCTTAGCCTTAGAGTTGCCCCACTCTTGCTCTGGTTCACTGAGACAAGGGAGCTCCTTCTTGCCTTCACCTTCGTGCTTATGTTGACCCATTCCATCATAGTTTAGAGCTGTGTGGATGCCTTTGAAATAAGAGCATAAGATTTGGAATAAATACCTAACTTTGGAGAAGTTCCCAGCCTTGTTAATTATTAGTTACATGATTTTATAAGATTCTTTTAATCTCAGACCCTTGTGTTTTTCAACTGAAATTCCTGGATCCCCACTCACCTCAAGAAATGTTCTTGTGAGTGTTAGCTCTGGATCCAGATGTGGACTCCTCCTGCTGCTTCTCTTGATGATTATGAACTCTCTCTACATGCTTCCTTCAGGAGAGGCTGAGCTTGTAGAGAACTTTGTTGTAGGGGTTGTAGAGGTTTTGTTGACAACTGAAGCTCCGTAAGCCTGCCTCGGTGTTTTTTCTGAAAGAAATATAAATTGTGGAGTGTAGCTATCTGCACTTATAGTAGAGATATTTCATTTGTATTTCAAGAAATGAAGCTTGCCTGAAGGCCGGAGAGTAAAACAGCCCCACTGGTGCCCTACAGACCAGGCTGGCCATGAACTCACACAGATCCTGAGTGCTGGGATCAAAGGCCCTCGCCACCACTGCGTGTAAAGAGTTCAAAGCCAGCCTAGTCTGTAAAGCTGACCAGTGCACCTGTTATACTCTCTGATTTTCAGGCAAGCTTTATTTATTAAAATGCAAATGGAATATCACTATGTGCACTCAATACATGATTCAGGGTAAGAGTGAGTGGTCAACTAACAGAAGTTAGGAGAGGACTGAAGCTTCATTGTTGGCAAATTAAAGTAACTCAAACTCCCAACACAGGGATCCCTCAGCAGGCAGTAAGATTCATAGTGTTCCCCACCACCCCACAGCAGAGCTGGCCTCTCTCCCTGACTTGCTTTTGCAAATAGCCTATAATGATCCAGTGTGCTTCGTTGCCCTCAGTATGCCTTTGACCCTGATTTTGCAGTTGGTGAGAAATGCGTTCAATTCCACGGATGAGAGTGGCACTTTCCAGTGTGTGGTCCATCTGCCCAACAACTCGGTATTCCTGCAGCAGCTGGAACAGCTACAGAATACACTACAGGATCTCATTGGCAAGTATGAACAACAGCTGTCCAAGGTGAGTGAGTGCTGGAGATGGGGCAGTTGCAAGACCATCTTTTACTGACTTCAGTTTAGTCGTGACTCCATGGCAATGATTCCCTGGATTTGAGATCAAACCTAAGAAAGAAAGGGAAATTTGGTACTATTCTTAATGTTTCCCATAGTAAAGCATGGCTTATGATGTTTATAGGAGCTTCTTACATTGATAGATAAAATACTGATTGTAGATCCATTGAAAAACAAGACGGGGGAAACACAGACATGCATATCATCTAATCAAAGGGTTGAACGCAGGATGATCAATGTGGAGGATCAAAGAGCAGATTTGCCATAATGAACTGAACTAGAGGTGCCACGTGGAACGGTGGGGTGAAATACTATATCTGTAGTTCAGTGTTGCTAATGGTCTAGCAAACCTTACTTGCTGGACTCCTTGGGAAGCTTCATGATATATGGCCAGACTGGAAGCTGGTATTGTTTATCTCTTGTGCTAGTCCTAAGGGGTGGGTGACTCTAAAGGTTCTATGAATAGTATAGTTGGTATTTTCTTTCCTTCAGAGAAACAGGGACCTGAGTGTTCTCAGATAGGAAGTTGAGTTATTACTACTGTTAAATAAAGTGATAGACAGAAGGTGGATGTCAGTGGATGAGAAGAGTAGGGCTCCTTGACATCTGGAGGAACAATATGCCCGTCCTTCATGCCCAGGCCAAGGAGTGTGCACCTACCACTGAAGACCAAGACAGTCAGACTTTGGAGGTGAGTCACATGCTGGAGTCCAGGAATCCTGGTGTCACTGGGTCCCAATATGACAACCCAGCGTTCAACCTGCTACACCTAGAACTGGAACGTGCACAGGAGTTGATAGCCCAGCTTCAGGTCAAGGCAGGTGTCAGCGGGGCCCCGGAGCTCCTCCACCAACTCCGGAACCAGGTGTGTAGAGGGATCAAAGTGCTCCCCCTTCCCCTTCCTCTCACACCCTCCTTTCTTACCTGATTAGCTATGATAGACACTTCCCCAAACCTCTTCTTTCTGGAGAAGACGCCTAACCCAGAAAATCAAGAGTGCCAGTTTAGCTTGAGGACACCCTGTGATCCACATTCCTGGGATCTCATTCCCTCAGGTCACTAATGCCAGTCTGAGCCTGAAGCTTCTGGCTAACGCAGACTTCCGAAGCTTTCGTGCTCTCCAACAGGAGGTGGACGTCCTTGAGGGACGACTAAGTGAGTGTGAGAGGGAGAAGGAACAGGAACAGTCTTCCAGACACCCTGGTCCACCCCTGGCTCCGGGTGAGTTCACAGACTGAATTCCCCAAGATTTTCTCTATTTACTGGGCCAAATGCGTGATTGCTACAGTAGCCTTAGGGACGATTGGGAGGCCAGTAGGTCTTGCTAAGGAATAAGTCTTCAGTTTTCTGATTGTACCAAAACTGGTATCTTCTCATGGACATATCCACATATGCAGTCATTTATACATCTAATAGCCAGGCACATGCATTCATCTCTATCCATGCAAAATCAGTCTATTTATATGATTATGCATGCAGTTGCATGAACATGTTCTCAAGCACACATGTACTGATTACACTCCATCCTCTGCATCAGTGGATTATATGCTTTGTAGCTAGCTCATATCTCGCTTGCACTGCCCTGTAGGTTCCTGCACTCATGGAGGCCTACAGAAAGTGAGCAGACCCATTGTGCTGAAGCTCAACTGGAGGGGTTTATCATACAAAGTAGGTGCCTGGGGCCGAGACTCAGCACCCAACCCAGTTTCTGCCCTTTACTGGGTGTCTCCCCTGCGTGCTGATGGCAGGTGAGTCCTGGATGACAAACTTTATGTACCTGGGTCCATCCCATATGTACTTTAGCCTGGTCCTGACAGGCTTCTTAGTAGCCCTAGCACTGATTCTTTTTTTAAAAGGTTTTTATTCATTTTAAATAACAACCACAGTTGTCTCCCCTTCCTCCACACACCTGATCCACTTCTCAGAGATCCCATGGACAGTCAACAAATCCTGGCAGATCAATTTGAGGCAGGACTAAGCCCCTCCCCACTACATCATGACTGAGCAAGGTAACCCACCATAGTGAATGGGCTCCAACAGCCAGTTCATTCATCAGGGATAAATTCTGATCTTACTGCCAGGGGACACATAAATAGACCAAGCCACACAACTGTTACCCAATTTCAGAGGGCCTAGTTTGGTCCCATGCAGGTTCCCCAGATGTCAGTTCAGAGTCCATGAGCTCCCACTAGATCAGGTCAGCTGTCTCTGTGGTTTTTCCCCATCATGATCTTGACCCCTTTGCTGATGTTATCCATCTTCCCTCTTTTTGACTGGACTCCAGGAGCTAGGCCTAGGGCTTGGCTGTGGATCTCTGCTTATCTTTTCATCACTTACTAGATGAAGGTCCTATGATGACAATTAGGATGGTTATCAATCTGATTACTGGGGAAGGCCAGTTCAGGCAACCTCTCCACTACTGCAAGGAGTCTTCTTTTAATAATTCATTTTAATTTATTTTTATTGAGCTCTACATTTTTCTCTGCTCCCTTCCCTGCCTCTCTCCTCCCTTTCAATCCTCCCCCAAGGTCCCCACGCTCCCAGTTTACTCAGGAGATCTTGTCTTTTTCTATTTCCCATGTAGATTAGATCCATGTATGTCTCTCTTAGGGTCTTCACTGTTGTCTGTACAATTCTCCAGGTTTGTGATTTGTAGACTGGTTTTCTTTGCTTTATGTTTAAAAGCCATTTATGAGTGAGTACATGTGATAATTGTCTTTCTGGGTCTGGGTTACCTCAATCAAAATGGTGGTTTTTAGCTCCTTCCATTTGCCTGCAAAAGTCAAGATGTCGTTATTTTTTTTTCTGTTGTGTAGTACTCCGTTGTGTAAATGTATCACATTTTCCTTATCCAATCTTTGGTCAAGGGGCATTTAGGTTGTTTTCAGGTTCTGGCTATGAGAAACAATGCTCCTATGAACATAGTTGAGCACATGTCCTTGTGGTATGATTGAGCATCTTTTGCATATGTACCAAAAGTGGTATTGCTGGGTATTGAGGAAGGTTTTTTTTCCTAATTTTCTGAGAAATCACCATACTGTTATCCAAAGGGCTGTACCCCCTGCAATGCAGGAGTGCTCCCTTTACCCCACAACCTGTCCAGCATAAGTTGTCATCAGTGTTTTTGATCTTGGGTATTCTTTCATTTGTAAGATGGAATCTCAGAATTGTTTTGATTTGCATTTCTCTGATGGCTAAGGATGTTTAGCATTTCCTAAAGTGTCTTTTAGATTCCTCTGTTGAGAGTTCTCTGTTTAACACTGTACTCCATTTTTTTATTGCATTATTTGTTTTGGTGATCAGTTTTTTTTTTTGTTTTTTTTTTTTGCAAGGAGTCTTAACTGGGGTCATCTTTGTGGATTCTTGGTAATTTCTCTAGTAATAGGTTTCTCCCTAACCCCAAATTGGCTCCCTCTCTCAAGATATTTCTTTCACTGTTCTCCTTCTCTGTCTCTCCCACAACTCGACCATCCTGTTCCCTCTTATTCTCATCCCCCACTCCTTCCCCTTCCCTCCAGGTTACCCAGGAGATCTTACCTATTTCATCTTCCTAGGAAATGAGTAATACTTCATTGTGTAAATGTATCACATTTTCTTCAATCATTTTTCGGCTGAGGGGCATCTAGGTTGTTTCCAGGTTCTGGCTGTTTTGAATAATGCTGCTATGAAAATATTAGAGAAAGTGTTCTTGGGGTATGATTGAGCATACTTTGGCTCAAGAGAGGTATTGCTGAGTCTTGGGGGAGATTGATTCACAATTTTCTGAAAAACTGCCATACTGATTTCCTAAGCGACTGTATAGTCTGTACTCCCACCTGCAGTGAAGAAGTGTTTCCCTTACTCCACATCCTCTCCAACTTAAGCTGTCATCAGTGTTTTTATCTAAGTCATTCGGACAGGTGTGAGATGATATCTCAGAGTCATTTTGATGTGCATTACCCTAATGATTAAGAATGTTGAGCAATTCCTTCAACGTCTTTTGGCCATTTGAGTTTCTTCTGTTGAGAATTCTCAGTTTAGTTCTGTACCCTATTTTTAAATTGAGTTATTTAGGAGTTTGATGTCTGGTTTCTTCAGTTCTTTATATATTTGGAGATCAGTCCTCTGTCAGATGTGGGGTTGTTGAAGATCTTTTCCCATTCGGTATGCTGTCATTTTATTTACTATATTTTTTGCCCTATGGAAGCTTCTCAGTTTCGAGAGGTCCCATTTTTTAATGTTGTTCTCAGTGTCTGTGCTACTGGTGTTATATTAAGGAAGTGGTCTCCTGTGCCAATGCATCCAAGGCGATTTCCCAGTTTCTCTTGTATGAGGTTCAGTGTAACTAAATTTTCGTTGAAGTCTTTAATCCACTTGGACTTGAGCTTTGTGCGTGGTGCTAGACATTAACTTATTTGCACTCTTCCACATGCCATCATTCGGTTAAGCCAGCACCATTTGTTGAGGCTGCTTTCTTTTTTCCATTGTACAATTTTGCTTCTTTGTCAAAAATCGGGTGTTCACAGGTGTGTGGATTAGTGTCAGAGTCCTCAGTTTGATTCCATTAATCCACATATTTCTTTTTATGCAAATATCAAGCTGTTTTTATTATTATAGTTCGAGGTCTGTGAAGAATTGTGTTAGGATTTTGATAGGGATTGCACTGAATCTGTAGATTGCTTTTGGCAACATGAACATTTTTACTATGTTGTTCCAACCCATTCAAGAGTGTGGGAGATAGTTCCATTTTGTGATATTGTCTTCAATTTCTTTCCTCAAAGACATGAAGTTCTTGTCATCAGGTCTTTCCCTTGTTTGGTTAGAGTTGCCCCAAGGTATTCTTTATTACTTGTGACTATTGTAAAGGGTGATATTTCTCTGACATTTTTCACCCCATTTATCATTTGTTTATAGGATGGTGATTTTATTTTATTTTTTTTAGTTAGTCTTGTATCCCATCACATTACTGAAGGTATTTATCAATTTTAGGTGTTTACTGGTAGAATTTTTGAGGTCGCTAATGAGTACTATCATGGCAAATAGCAAAAGTTCAATTTCTTCATTTCCAATTTGTATCCCTTTGATCTCCTTTTGTTGCTTATTGCTTTGGCTAGAATTCTGAGTGTTATACTGAATAGATATGGAAAGTGGACAGTTTTGTTTTGTTTCTGATTTTATTGGATTGCTTTGAGTTTCTCTTCATTTAGTTTGATGTTGATTGTTGGCTTGCAGTAAATTGTCTTTATTATGTTTATGTATTTTCCTTGTCTCCCTGATCTCTCCAAGACCTTTATCATGATGGGGTATTGGATTTTGTGGAAAGCTTTTTCAGTATGAAATGAGATCATCATGTGGGTTTTTTCTTTCTTTCAGTTTGTTCATATGGTAGATTACATTGACAAATTTTCATATGTTGAGCTATCCCTGCATTTCTGGGTTGAAGCCTACTTGACAATGATGAATGATTGGTTTTGTTTTTTGTTTTTTTAATGTGTTCTTGGATTCGTGTTGCCAGTATATTACTGAAAATTTTTGAATCAAGGTTCATAAGGGAAATTGGTCTGAAATTCTCTTTCTTTGTTAAATCTTTTTGTGGCTTGGGTATCAGGGTAACTGTACCCTCATGAAGTTTGGGAATGTTCCTTCCATTTCTATTGTGTGGAATAATTTGAAAAATATTGATAATAGCTCTTTGAAATTTTGTTAGAATTCTGCACTGAAACAATCTGTCCCTGGTTTGCTTTTTGTTGTTGTTGTTGTTGTGAAACTTTAAATGACTTCTTCTATTTCCTTAGGGGTTATAGGTTTATTTAAACTGTGTATCTGGTCTTGAGTTAATTTTGGTATGTGGTACCTATACAGAAAATTGTCAATTTCTTTTAGAGTTTTCAGTTTTATGGAGTTCAGGCTTTTGAAGTATGACTTGATGATTCTCTGGATTTCCTCTGTGTCTCTTGTTATGTCCCCCTTCTCATTTCTAATTTTGTTAATTTGCATATTCTCTCTCTGTTTTTATATTAGTTTGGATAAGGGTTTGTCTATCTTGTTGATTTTCTCAAAGAACCAGCTCTTTGTCTCATTGATTCCTTATATTGTTTTTTTGTGTGTGTCTATTTTGTTGACTTCAGCCCTCAATTTGATTATTTCCTGTCTTCTACTTGTTTTGAGTGTGTTTGCGTGTTTTTCTTCTAGAGCATTTAGCTGTTTTGTTAAGTCACTAGTATGAGATCTTGCCAAATTATTCATGAAGGCATTTAGTGCTATGAATTTTTCTTTGCCCTGCTTTCAGAATGTACCATAAGTTGGAGTATGTTTTACATTCATTTTCATTGAATTCTAGGAAGGTTTAATTTCTTTCTTTATTTCTTCCTTGACCCAGTTGTGGATAAGTTGAGCATTGTTCAGTTTCTATGAGTTTGTAGGCTTTCTGTACTTGGTGCTATTGTTATATTCTAACATGTGATGGTGATCCAATAAGATACAGGGGATTATTCCAATTTTTTATATCTATTGATATTTGCTTTGTGACTGAGTATGTGGTCAGTTTTAGAGAATGTCTCATGAGGTACTGAGAAGAGGCATATTATTTTGTATTCGGGTATAATGTTCTAAAGATATCTAATAAGTTCATTTGAGTTACAAAATCTGTTAGTTCCCTTATTTCTTGCTAAGTTTCTGTCTGGCAGACCTGTCCACTGGCTAGCAACAGTGTGGCTGTTGCTTTTCAAAATGGTTATTTATTTCAACATAGTATACAATATGTAGGAGATGGAATGAAAATACCATTTGACCCCAAAGTTGCTACTCTAAATTGCTTTCCCAGTTCTCTTTTTTTTGTGTGTTTGAGCATTTCATAGCAAAGGACAATGTATTTTCATGATGCTCATCCTCCCTACCTGATTCACCCCCATATTGCACCTTAATATTTATGTCCTCTTCTTCTGTAATTACACATACATACACACACACTAACACACTTTCTTCTATAATTACACATACTCACACACACACGCTCATACACACACTCTTCTGTAATTACACACACACAGACACACATGCATACATAAACATACATTCAGACGTACACACACACACGCTCATACACACTCTCTTCTGTAATTACACACACACAGACACACATGCATACATAAACATACACTCAGACGTACTCACACACACACATGCTCATACACACTCTCTTCTGTAATTACACACACACAGACACACATGCATACATAAACATACATTCAGACATACACACACACACGCTCATACACACTCTCTTCTGTAATTACACACACACAGACACACATGCATACATAAACATACATTCAGACGTACTCACACACACACGCGCTCATACACACTCTCTTCTGTAATTACACACACACAGACACACATGCATACATAAACATACATTCAGACGTACTCACACACACTCTCATACTATCACACACACACTTACATACTCACACAGTCTGAGTCCAGGGAGTTTTTCCCACATGTACACGTGTGTTGGACTGACCATAAGGGCATGGGCAATCTATTAGGAGGAAAACAGATGCTCCTTCCCTCCACACAGCTGTGAAGTGCTTGTAACTCTCCACCTAGGGTTAAGACCTCCTAAATATTTCCCACATCTATGCTGAGTCATCTATTGATCTAGTGCAGGTCTTATGTAGGTCACCATACTATTGTGAGCTCGTGGGTGAGACATTCCTATCATGTCTAGAAGACACAGCACTGCTCAGGGTCCTTTGGCTGTTACACTTAATCTTTCCACCCCCACTTCTGCTGCGTTCCCTGGGCTTGATTATAGGGGTTGTGTTACAGATGCCCCACTATCATTTTCATTGTTCTTTAGTACTTATTGCTGCTGTCACTTAATGGTTCTACTGTGTGGGGTTCTTGGCCTAGGTACTTTGATTACTACCGGTTGTACAAATCCTATGGTGACCTGGTGGTTCTGAAGCACTATGAGCAGTGGAAGATGGGCTATGGTGATGGCAGTGGCAACACCGTCTACAAGAACTTCATGTACTTTAACTACTACGGCACAGGAGACATGGCCAAGGTGGACCTTTCTTCCAACACCCTGGTGCTGCGACGTCCATTGCCTGGTGCCACCTACAACAACCGCTTCTCCTATGCTGCTGTGCCATGGACTACCTTAGATTTTGCCGGTGACGAGAAGGGGCTGTGGGTGCTCTATGCCACAGAAGAGAGCAAGGGTAACCTGGTAATAAGTCGTCTCAATGACAGCACCCTAGAAGTTGAGCAGACCTGGTATACTAGCCAGTACAAGCCTTCTCTTTCAGGGGCCTTCATGGCCTGTGGGGTGCTCTATGCTTTACGCTCGCTAAGCACACATCAAGAGGAGATCTTTTATGCTTATGACACGGCCACCAGTCAGGAACACCAACTCAGCATCCTGTTGGACAAGATGTTGGAAACACTGCAAGGCATCAATTACTGTCCTTGGGACCACAAGCTCTATGTATACAATGACGGATTCTTAATAAATTACGATCTCACCTTCCTGACAGTAAAGGAAAGGCTGCCAAGCTCTCCCATTAAAGGGCCTTCTGGGGCTTAAGCTCCAATCAATCCTATCAGATCCAACAAACCCTCCAGGCCAGGAGACTCTGTGACTGATCAGAGTACTCATAAAAATACTCTGTCTTCCTTACCTCTAGGACACCTCTCTTAACAATCACCTACCTAAATGATTGAAGTACAGTGATTATATTTAGTTCTGTATGTAATCAATATCTCAATCAACACATTAAGCTGCTAAGAATGGCCTGCAATGATTCGATTAAGAAAAAAATACAGTCTTAGCTAGAGCGGGTTTGGAAAGGTAGCTGAGTGCTGAATTATGTGTTTAGCATGCATCAGGTTCTACATTCAATGCTTAGCACATTGGGGTGGGAGGGCAACTCATCATTCAATCCTTAGCATTAAAAAATAACCAAAAAAATTAGCTAGAGAAATGAGAGAAATGTTGCCCTTTTCTGATATTTGGGCATCATGCTTTTAAACTTAGCAGGACAGTTACTAGAATTCTAGGATCATGTGACCTTTCATTCTAAGGGTAGAGCTGAGTCCATCTGATTCCAGTGACCCATGGGCGCTGGTATTGAGAGTGGGGTACAGAAGTTCCCTTTATACATCCACACCACCAAAGGGTTCTACAGAGAAGAGAGGCAGAATCTTGGCCTGAAGATATGTTCTTCACTACCCTCAACCACACCTGACCCTGTTCTAGGAAGTCAGCTTCAGAATTAGTCAGGATAAGTAGCATGGGATATGGTTGGGACTGTGAATCGAGACATTCCCAATAAAAACTTCTTGGTATGATTGCAGGAAGTCTTCTAGCATGTGTTTGTTCTCTCCTTACCCTGTTTAGTGTGCTGAGAAGGTGTGAGTTTAAATTCTCCCTGTGTTCCTCATCTGTCCATACAGTGATCCCCTTTCTAGGCAGCTGTATAAACACAGATTCCCAAGCTATCGTGGCCATAGAGGATGCATGCACTGTATTTGAGTGTATATTTGCAAACATGAATTTTAGAACATTTGTGCTTTCAATTTGTAAATGTAATGAGTCTACATTTATATATTTATATAAATATCTTAACATAGCCACTAATAATTCATCAGCTTTCTAAGAAAAACAATCAAATGCTAGCTCCAAGAAGCTGGGATACTGAGAATCTTGCCAGAAACTGTTTCCTGTAGGAAATGCAGTGTTTACCACTTTCCCTGCTACCAATTGGTCTAGATATACCTGCCATCTCTGGTGTTTTCACTTAAGACTGAGCAATAATCTTGAAATCAATCAGTTTAGAAAGTCTGTTATGATGGCATAGGGATCAAGCCACTTATAAATTATGTGAATAAAAAGTGTGCTGTAAAGAGCAGCCTGTTCACCTCTATTTTGGAGTTTCTTAAAGAAAGCCCCTATGGCCAGTCGTACCCCTAATTCTCAGAGAAGAAAATAATCTTTACCTACTATGTGGGAACATTCTCACTTAAGTCTAGAATTCCACAGTCTGGGCCTCAGAGGAATATGTGGCTTCCTTTTCACTTAAGATCTTCACTTTTGTTTCATTTCCCTTCCTCCCTCCCTCCCTCCTTCCCTTTCTTCCTCTTTCTCTCTCTCTCTCTTTCTCTTTCTTTTCTTCGTTTTTTTAAACATTATTTTTTTTAATTTCACATCATAATTCCCAATGTTGTTCATAATACATTGCCTCCAGATCTGCCCTTTACCCCTGCAGCATGTCCCCCCAAAAGAACCCCCCAAAGTTTATTGAAAACAAAGAAAATAAACAACCCACCTTGCTCTTCCACCTGTCCATCACCTCTTTATTCATCCTAGTGGTGTCAGGACCTGTATCATGTCACGCAGTATACCCTTTGGTCCAATCAGCCCCACTCTCAAAATGTTCATTGCTATGAGTCATTGGCCTGGTTCAAGGCCTCCGGCACACCACCGTCACTGAAACTCATCTCAGATACTCTGTTGTTGCCCCGAGTCATGGAGATCCAGCATTTACTGTTCCATAGGGCCAGTCTCCTCACAAACTCCAGCAGGAGATGGGTTGGGTAGATGTTAGGGTGGGCCAACCCAAGGCCCAGGATGTGGGTCTGGATGCTAACTGAGCTGGTCAGTCCAGGCCACTTGTGGCCACCCTTGTCAGGAGAGGGGTGGAGCCAGCTCTCTTTGACACATGCCAGGGGCCAGCCCTCCCACACCCATGGTGAGGGGTGAGGGGTGGGGCTTGGTCAGCTCTCTCCTGAATACAGTAGAGAGTTAGCTTTCCCATGGGAGAGGTCAGGACAAGTTTTCCTGCTGCAGTGTCCAGCAAGGGGCAGGACCAGCTATCCCAGGGTCAGTGATGGGCAGGGATGGCCCAGCACGGCCCTTTGATTTTAACACTCAAGGTTCCTACCACACTCTGTGGTATCGGAGGCCATGGGCATCATCACAGACTCCAGCTGTAGCAGGAACATGGACCCAGACATGGCCTTCAGCAGCATTTCTGGCCTGAATAACATCATGGCCCCAGGCATCAATTGCAGGACACTCAGATTGGCATGGCCTTGGTGGCAGTAAGGCCCGGGGATACCAACATTGCCATGGGATACATAGTAGAACCCTGGCATCTGTGTGACCTTTGGTGGAACCTCAGACCACAGACATTAATGCAGATCCCGCTAAGTAGGACTATGGACCCATTCTTGATCCTCATCAGCAACCTGAACCTGGATGTTACCATGGCACCTTGTGACTCATCTCTGTATGACCCTAGCTGCAGCGGGCCCTCAGATCCACATCTAACCCCAGGGAATAGCCCAGACCCTGAGTATTTGTGTGGCCTTTGGTAGTATCAGGAGCCGTGGCTATCAACCTAGGCCCTTACTGTGGTAGTGCCATGGACCCAGACATAGCCCTACACTGGCCCACATATCACCATGGCCCTGAATGGCACAGACCTTTCAGATTGGTCTGGTCCTGGTGTCAGCATGGCCCTTGTACCCTGTCATGGACTCAGGTGTGTGACCAGACCTGGATCATCCACATGACCATCAATGGTTACCAAAACCATGCATATCAACACAGATGCTGGCTGCTGCAGGGCAATGAACCAAGATATGACCCCGGCAGCAGATCATGTCTGGATGTCATTGTGTTCTCTGGTGGCAGCATGGCCACTCAGATCAACATGGCCCAAGGGCAGCATGCCCACGTGTGGTGGCCCAGACCCTGGGCATCCCTGTGGTCTTGGTGGCAACATGGGTCATAGACATCAACATAGACATCAGCTATGTTAGGATTAAGGACACAGACATAGCCCTAGGCAGTAGCCCAGACCCAGACATCACCCTGATCCTGGTAACAAGTAGCCCAACACGAACCATTCCCTGCTGCCCTGGCTTCTTCAGAACTGCCTCTTACCACAGCACACTAACCATTCTGCCCCTCTCCCATTTCTACACCCCACACTTGCTCATCGTAATGGCACTCGCCCACCTGGCCATGAATATCTTCAGTTAGGCCAGACTGCAAGGACCCAGGCTGCTGTCAAGGTCTATGCCTTGGTCCACGGTTCACCCACGGTTGGGGTCTGTATTGATGTCTATGGCCCACAGTGCACTATGGGCCACACTGACATCAAGGGCCTAGGCCACCACCTAGGGCCCTTTTGGTGTCTGAGTGCTGAGCCTCTGCCAGGGCCATGTGACCCTGAGTAGTCTTTACTGCCACCCAGGTGTCTTCTGGGCCTGTGTTGCTGTCATGGTCTGTGTTGACATCCATGGCTCCTGTTACCAGTGAATGCAGGTAGGATAAGGCTGCACAACTGCTTACCAACTGTAGCACTCAAGAGAGTGGGCCTCGAATCTCTTCAGGGAAGTACAGAAGAGATTTCCGTACCGGCCCGGTTACAAGTGAGCTGGTTGAGAGTTGGAGAGCTAGCCCCACAGTCTGTGGCATGGGTAAGGGAGAAAGACTCCACTTACCCCTTGTTCCTCATCCCTCACCACCTAAGCAAGCAGGAAAATCTGGTTCTGGGGTCAGGTGAATGAGAGAGCTGATCCTGCCTCTCACTGCCGGCAACACTCAGGAGAGCAGGCCCTGCACCTGGCCAGGGTAGCGCAATAAAGCTGACCCAGTTGACAGGAGGTGCCAGTGATCTGGAACTGCAAAGGCTGGTGGGAGATCTGGCCCCACCCTTCACCTACCATAAGGTGAAGTGGGAGAGAGAGCTGGGCCCCTCCTCCCCTCTTGCCACCTGTGGTGGGAGGGAGACCCTGCCTTGAGGTCACGAGAGTGGGAGGGAGGACTGTTCCTGCCCCTCACCAGCTGCAGCACACAGGAGCGTGGGCATGGCACCTTGCCTTGGCAACACACTAGTGCTGACTCTGTTGGTGAGGATGGATAGATGAGCTAGGCCTGTAGGTGTGAGAGCAGGTGACCTGCCCCTGCCTTCTCCCTTGTATGACAGGGATGTCAAGGGTAGAGGAAATTTGTCCCCCCAGCTCTTGCCACCTGTGTCAGGCGGGAGAGCTGACCTAGGGGCTGGGAGAAGGAAGGAGTTGGCTCTGTCCCTTACCAAGTATGGCAATCTGGAGAGCAAGCCTTGCATCTTGCCTGGGCAAAACAGTAGAGCTGACCCTGGTGGTATGAGTATGTGTGAGACAGACCTGAGGGTGTGAACAGGGAAACTGATTCTACTTCTTGCTATCTGTTACACTTGGCTCAAGAGATCGCCACTGTAGTGGATTAATTAGAAAATGCTATAGGAACTTCGGTGGCTGCAGCAGCAAAAACCCTGCAGGTACCCAAGCGGTGGCAGCAGGCCATGTGGCGGCAGGCAGTGAACAGTGGGTCCGAAAAGCAGCCAGTCCCAGGTAGGAATGGCACAGTTCCCCAAGTGGCTGCAGCAGGCCACGAGGACAGAAAGACAGATGGGCATGCCACGACACAACACTTCAGGTCTCTGAATGCGGCTGGGCCCTGGCAGGTAGCCACATGGTGCAGCGGGAGAGAGACAGCAACATGTATAGAAACACCATGCAGACTAAGATTGGATA